ATATATATATATATATATATATAGTTGTCTCACTTAATTCTAATATTGAGAATAAATGCTTTCAATTAAGATATGTTTGGGGCTGGTAAAGCTAAGAAAACGATTTATTTACCCTTGCATTTAACTGCCCTTTTGTTGAGGTAAAATGTGTGGATATATATTCATATTGGCTAACGGTTTCAGCATGGCCAAGACACTGGAACGTTACCACAGATGCAGTTATGGAGCCTTGGAAGTACACCATCAACCTGAAATAGAGACACAGGTGGTGTTCATTTTTCTTGTATTGAATTGAATAAGATTTTAAGAGAATAAAGAAGATAGGAAAAAACAAAAACCGATGGACATGTTTGGTTTGAGAAAATGTTACTATTTTATTTTTTACATTTATAGTTGTACAAAACTGATGAAAACTAAATACAAATGGTATTTTTACTATTATTTGCACGGTTTTTAAAAAAGAAATTAAAATAAAAAAATATTATTTTCTAAATAAATCTGAAAAATAAAGCACAATGTAATAATGATTGATATATTTTTGTAATTATTTATAAAAGACAGAAAATACTTATACAAATCATTAAATATCTCGTTGAAAATATATTATTTATAAGGGTTGGAGTATTCTGTATGTTATCTTAATTTATTTTTTTATTAAATTTAAAGTTAAAACAGGCTTAATAATCGTTTTACAACTCAGTTTCAAAATTCTCCATTAGGGATAGCAAAAAAAAAATGTACTTGCATATATTCATAAATAAAATCTATTATGAATAATAAATTGATAGTCTAAATTGATATAAGTAGGTAATATATATGAGTATTTTTAACCCATTTATAAATGAGATAGGGGTGAGTATAGAAATATTCGTGCCCTTAGATATCAATTAAATAAAATTACTTAAATATTTATTTTTATTTGCATTTTTATATTGTTTTAAATATTTCAAACACATGAACATTAATTATTAGTTAAAAAATTATTATCAATTGTTTATGTTTAATATTTCAATATAATTAACATTATATATAAACTTAAAGTTATTTGTAATATTTTATTTAAAATTCACAAATGTTCATGAATATCAGTGAGTAATTATAAAATTTTCAGATACCTACTTAATAGATACATGTACAACCATGGGCAAGTACTGGGTGGATTTTTATCCAATGAGATGGGGATGGGTACCCTACTATCCACCTCCATAGACTCATTGCCAACCCTACTCCCAATGCATTAACCTTGAGTTTATTTTATTAAGAAAGAGGTTGACTCTTAATACTTCATCTTTAAGTTGTTCTTGTATACTCATTTTTATTTCTTTTTCTTAGTGTATATATGACTTATTTGTCTGCTGTTAATTCAATCTGTATATTGGATTAATAACTTTGGCCAAAGTCTAACATATATCACTCTATGCCTTTATGTAGAGGCGATACCAAGAGTATCTGAAGCTAAAATCTAAAGTTGAGCAACTACAACAAACACAAAGGTAAAATGCTAGTGTAATTATCGAAATAATTTACTCATAGTGCCTGCTTGTTTGAAGAAAAGTGTTTTACATTTTATTTTTTATTTTATTAATAATTACTAAACCATCATAGTATATTTATTGTATTAGTTTTCTTAAAACATGTTTAATACATAAACAGTAATAAAAACACAAAAATAAATGTTGTTTTCATGGTTTACGTTCAAATTTCAAAAGAAAATAAAGTATGTGTTATATAAATAACATATATTGGTTGTATTACTGTGTAGAAACCTCCTTGGAGAAGAATTGGAGCACTTAGATATTAAGGAGCTTGAGCAGCTTGAACGTCAGCTGGACTCTTCCTTGAAACAAATCAGATCTAACAAGGTATGCAAATTTTGCATCTAAGTCTGATGTCATTTTAACTGATCATATGACATGTTTATATTTTATATGTTTTTGCCTATTTGTATGAATATTATTTACTATATTATTGCTGGAAAGATGAAAATGTGAGAAGGTTTTGGTCGTAGGAAATTATTATGGAGTGCCTAGTGCCTACACACCTTGTACATGCACGGGTCCTACCCTTGAAATTATTTTTAGTTGTGTAAATCTTTTTGTTCTTGCTGGAAGAACAACAGGAGTAGGAGGGTTTGTCGTGAAATGTGAAAATTAAAGTACACACATGCATTAATTGAGGTATTCTCTCATGGCAGCGATGCACATGAGAAATGGCATAGAAGTCGTGCATGTAACATGTGATACACTTGCATCCTAAAGCACTACACTGGAGCAATTCCAAAATCACTATCTCTGATATAGTATTATTATCAATAAAAGATATAGGTTGGATTGTGACATTGATATTTGATCTTACTTTCAATGTTTTTGAAGTCAACTATGTTTCTTGAACAGTTTGTCTTCTTATAATCAAAGTTACGTACTCCTTTACATTTTTATTTATGTCCTTTCTATGGCGAAATTGAACTATCATAACAAGTTTTACATTGGATATATTTAAACTTCAAATTTTACTTTAAATACATTTATATGCGAAATTAATTTAGATTAGGGATTTATTTATACGAAAGATTAGGGAGTTTAAATTAGAATCATACATTTAACAATCATTCACTAAAAGTATACCAAACAACAATAATAAAAAATGGGCTAACACTAGAGAAAATAAAAATGTTACTAAGCATATCCATGTATTTGAGACTATTTATTGGTAATCTTGGCAATCCATTGTTCAGAAAGTTTAATACATGTATTTGCTAAAGAATTTGGAATAGCGTTGAACTCATTACAAGGTTGAACTTACTACAAGGGAAGTGACTTATACTTACAGATGTTTTGTATGTTTCATAAGGTTGAAGTCACTATAAAGGAAAGTGGCTTAAACTTAAATATGTTTTGTTACATAATAACTACGGGTAAAATAAAAAATTACTTATATATATATATATATATATATATATATATATATATTAATTTATAGGTAAAAGTCATATATTTATACTTAAAATTGTTAGTTGTAGGTGAAACCTATAAAGTCATTCCTATATAACTATATAATGGACAAATAGATCATTGATGGGTAAATCTAAAATAGACATATTTACTTGTAAATTTTAACATTTAGTGGCAACTTATATCCATTACTACAAGTTAATTTTATTGTAAATTGAATTTCATGAATTAATATATAGTTGAAAGAGTAATGTTGTTATTACATGTAACAAGAAAAATTATATCAAGTAAGAATGAAAATAACACATTTTAAAAATCATCAAACCTAATTCATATATATTATAAGAGGTAATTTGGTGGTCATGATATGATAAGATATGATTGAATATAAGCAAGATAAGAACATGATAGGATAAGAATAGGATAAACTTTAATGTTATCCAATATTTGATACATAACATTATTACATTATCTTGTTATGTATTTGATATGAACTAGATAATGATAAGTGGTAATGACTATTGAAGACAATGATGACGAGATAGTAATGACAATATTGATAGTAGCGGTAATGTGTTGTTATTGATGAGATCATGGTGGTTATGATGATGTCATGGTGAAAGTAATGATGACAATATTGACACTTTTGATAATAAATGACAATAATAAGAGTAGTGTTGGCAGTGGTAAAGACAACAATAATGTTAATAGTAGTAATAAGGCAGGTACGTCAGAGATAAAATAAAGATGGTGACAAATGGTAGTATTAGTAATAATAGTAGTAACTATAGTGGTGATAACAACAATAATGGTGATGATGTATTGACAATAATAACAATAATAATAATATGATAAGAGTTATGACATGACAAAGATGACGATGATGATCATAACAATAATCATGTTGATAAACATGATGGTGATAATTGTAGCAATAAAAGGTGAGGTGGTGAGAAAGATATAGGAAGGAAGAACAACCTTCCTATCCAAGGCTTTTTCAACTTAAATCTTCCATAAAGATAAAAAAAAAAAAAAAAAAAAAACACTGCACCAACACTATAATATATACAATGAAACAAAGGTAAATCATATCTTATTGATACATTAAACATTTCATTACAATAAGACAACATAATTATTTTCTCTTTATCTTCTCATATTTTTCCACCAAATAAACCCTAAAGTTCTTTATGAAAATATATAATTACCTGCATATATTTCTCATTATTTTTAATATATATATATATGGATAGTTTTAAATAAAATAAGGTACCTGTACAATATGCATATATCAACATTCATTTTATATTAATAGAATGCTATCAACACATTTTCTAACATTTGTTTTTTCTAATGCACCATATTTTATTATTGGTTATAATTTATTAAAAACTGTTAAATCATTTAAAAGATTCATTACATAAAAATTGAACCCACAAAAATATAATTTTTAATAATAATAAAATTCCGACAATAGTAGAAAGTATTTAAAGAATGAGTGGCTAACATCTATGTTTCATATTTAATTTTGATCGAACAGAAATTTGACTGGTTTTTCGGTTCTTAATCAGGATCTCAACCTCGCCCTTTAAACCTCTTCGTTCTTCCACTTACTGTACTATACTATTACTGTCTTTCAAATCTTGTAGTGTTGGAGGGGGGGTCGTTTAGAAAGTAAATAGAGCTATAATACTTCAATGCTGCTTCGTTTCTGACCTCTTTAAAACCAATCTCAACTTTCTGTCAAATGTATTATCTCATCCAATGTAGGATTTTGACAAAATATTATGATGAGGGGTCAAATATTTAAATACATATAATTTAAATTATTTATAATATAAAATGTAAAAATATAATACTGATCCTATTACAGATTCTTAGTATAAAAATATAAAAATAGAATAACATTTATAAATTGTACAATAAATTTTAGAACAATAAAATGATAAGAAAAAAAAAAGAAAAAAGAATGAAATGTAATAGTGAAATGATGGAAAGAAACAAAGAGAAAAAGTATTATATAAATTATAGTGTAAGTTACTGCATAAATAACCCAACTCATAAAAATATGCCTGAAATGCTTCTTGCACCGACAACTTGTCATCTTTGTATGGCTCACAGGAGGTGTATCGGTCTTACATGGAAAGGGAGAAAGAATAAGAGAAAAATAGTAAACATTTTGTGTTCTGTGAAAATCTTGGCCCTCAAATTATGTATACTTGTGCTTGAACATGATATGCACCAAAGGATCCCCAATTATTTAATGAAAAAAAAAAACTTTGGACACTAATATGTAATCATATGTAGATGGTGTTTAGATTGAAGGAAAATTAACATGAAGAAAAGAAAACATGTAATAACGTATTTTCTTGTATTTGGTGGATAGAGAAGAATTTGTAAACTTAGTTTATATATTAAAATTTTTTAATTTAATAATTAATTATTAAAATTTGATATAAAATATAAATTATGGTGATAAATTTTTGTTCATATCCATACATATATATATTTTGGTTGCATGATTTTTAAGGTTTGCATTATGTGACTGTTCAAGACTGAGAACTCTTATTCAATCGTCGGTGGCTTGAGATATCGTGGTTGGCTCATTAACTCGTGCATGAATAGTCAGATCTGTACTTATCTGATGTCTGGCTACTGTTAAAACAGTTTTCATACCCGTATCAGTTTTTCCAGATGTGAAACACCAAACACCAAACACCAACATTAACTTATTTTATATAAATGTGATAACAACCACACAATTTTTATTGTTTCGTATCACATGCAGTCTAGTTCGGTCCCCACATGCACATTAAAATTAGCTACTAGTGGGGTAAATCTTTTCCACACTCGAACAGATTGAAATGACATGTGATTAAATTAGGTTTTATAATTTCAGAGTTGAACATAAATTCTCTTCATCAAATATTAGTTCCCTACCCGAACAGTTTGATATGACATGAGTTAAAAAGCTTAACATAAATTCTGTTATACCTTCGTATAAAGATTAGTTGTTCCGACCCAAACTGTTTGATATGACATTAGTTAATTATGTTTTAAAATTTCAAAGTTGAACATAAATTCTTACTCTTGTCAAAAGAGTAGTTGTCCCTTAATGGCAGTTGTTTGGTTGGGGCCTCATTAATTTATTTGAACTTTGAACTAAACTTATACGGGGAATATGCATGGTATAAAACAAGAAGGTTTAAGGATATAAATGACATTTGTGATGTGTTTCTCAAGAATATATATAAAATTATCTATTTACTTCAAAAGTATGTATTGATAGAATTATTATAAATAATTTATCATCTATATTAAATTTTATATAATTTTTTTTCTTGTCAGTTTCTTTTAATGTTACATGCATGCATGTTGATTATATATTAATATAAACGTGGTTGCAATGTAATTTAAAAAAGAAAAAGGAAAAGTGAGTCAATAAACGTAGACCATAATTCGCAATGCATCGAATGGGGTTAATAAATTTTAACTCACAATTTAATTGGCTGCCCAAATAAAATAGTCAAATTAATACCTCTAAATAATATTAATTAATGAAATCTTAAATATTAGTACCTATAATGTTACTTCGTTTCTCATTAACACATAATTGAAAATTAAGCATGGATAGAGTTTTATAACTATAAATAAGCATTTGGTACGTGTATTATCAAAGTTTTTGGATCATTTGTTACTTAGCAAAATATTGTGTAATATGCATAGAGTTAATATTCCAAGCACAACTTATAATATTGCTAAAAATAACTGAAATCGTAATATTAAGATTCTATTATTTTCATTATCATGCTTCTAAATTCTTATGTATCTGTTTCATGTCTCCAGACACAACAGATGCTTGATCAACTCTCTGATTTGCATAGAAAGGTAGCATTTGTTAATGCTTTCTTTTATATCATCCTTAAATATATATCATTTACTTATAGGTTTGCTAACAACTCTGTTTTTGGATGGACACACAGGAAGAGATGCTACTGGAAACTAATAGTATCCTAAGGAACAAGGTACCAAAATAATTTTTTTTTTTTTTTTTTTGACACCCTTGGAAAAATAAACAAATCCCTGCATAAATAACTATAGTGTACAACAAATGAACCCCACCCCTTAGCAAATCTAAGATCTTGTCAGTCCTTGTTGATTTTTTCTGCTTGAATCTTGTCTCTTTGGAAAAGTAATTAATTAAAAAAAAAAATCAACATTAGATCATCTTGTGATTATATTGTTGTAGACAGCGTCCCTTAGGATCATTGTTCAATTTCACATGTTTAATTATTGTAAGAAAAAATATATTTGGACACCCCAAATTCTATTCAACACTTAAAAGAGAAAGATAAAAGAAGGAAAAATATACTATATGTGCTAAGAAGGGATGGATAAAAAGAAATAATAGATGTTGATGAGTTGTTTAAAATATTGGGATGTACAAAAATCATTATTCTTATGGGATGACTAGTAGAAAGAGAATTTTTCATGTATGAAAATCATAAATCTTCAAGCATGATTTCTGATAATCATAAATTTTAGAAATCATAATTTTTAAGAATAATTTAAAATATTTATGTTGCTTGAAAATCAAACTTTTTTTTACTGCAATAAATAAACAAAATAAAATAAAAGTTTCATTTAAACTAAGAAATGTTAGATTCACATCATCTCCATAAAACAATTTTATAAGGAACTTAATTTAAAAATATTCACCAAAAATAAGGTATTTTGCGAATGTTATTTTTAAATAATAAATCAAACTTATGAAAGAAAAACTAGTAAACTAGTATTCTTAACATCATACTAATAACCAAATTGATAATACTTTGATGAGATGTGAAGTCTTTGCAGTCTCTACATTTTGAGTTTTAGTAGTTGAACATTTAGTGATTCTACAATTCTTTTGGTTATATATTAATGACTATCGTATTTATAACGTGCATTCTATATAGTTAAGTGTTACCTATCTTGTACAAAACTACACAGAAAATTTGAAACTTGACCATGTGTCTCCTGATGACCGTCAGACAAAGAATAAGTTTTAGTTGAACTTTCCAAAGGTATATACTTATTTTAGGGTATTGAATGTACATACATTTCTTATGAATGAATAACAAATTTAAATGTTGACAAGATTCAACTTGGGAATGTGAAGATTTAAATTATGAACATGGATCTGTCAACTACATTTGAGATTTTCTTTTTCCCGAAATTGAATCTTACCCTTTGGTAATATAAATATGCTGTGGCAATTGCAAACATTTTTCTGTCAGGGGTGATGGGTTCTTTATTAATGAAATTTAAGCTTCTGAAGTGGAGGATGAAAAATTAAATCACTGCAGTACACATAATTTAAGCACCTTTTTTCAGGTGTGAAATATTCTTACCTAATTTCCCCCCCTCTTGATTAGGACCTGGGAAAAGGTAGATCCAAATATTCAACCCCACCACCATTATCATATCTCAAATTATTAGCTGCTCGTAGATCTGCAGAGCTTTGATCTATTATGCACAGAAGTTAGAATTCCGTATGACATCAATCACATTACTCACATAGTCCCTACACATTGCTTTTAGTTTCATATTAAATTGTGAAATGACTTTGTTTACATGAAAAAATACGTGATGCATTGACAGTGTAAAATAGCTTTATACTGTCATCTAATTACAAATTATTGTGTATAATAAGCTTTTTGACTTTTATAATAAATAAATAAAAAATCATACTATCCATAATTTGTGATTGACTGAAGATATAAAAACAGGTGTATGATCATTGAACTATGGTACATTTGATATTCAAATGTTTTTGTCTTCATTTTGTGCCACCCCATTTTTGATTAAAAGTCCAATATATCTATGTCTCACAGTTGGAGGAAATTAATGCAACCCTTCAACCAACATGGGAAGCTAGGGAGCAAAATGCACCCTACAATTGCCACCCTCCACAATCAGAGGGATATTATGAAACAGCACATTGCAACAGTACATTGAGAATCGGGTATTGTTCTTCTACCTCTCAATGCATATGTGAAATTTGATGAAGTAGGTTCTTATGTGTTTGCATGAAGCTGATTTCTCATTCTTAATTAATTTTGTGCAGCTATGATTCTTCAGTGTTAAATGAAGCAGGTACCTCAGGCCAAAACGCCAGTGAATTCATGCATGGATGGATGGACTGAATTAATTTCGAATTTAGCTTATTTAGTGTCAGAAAAATGAAACTTTTGTCGAGATCTTGGCCTACAAGAATAGCCTATAATAATAGGTGTCACGAAGCATAAATATATATATATATATATATATATTTATATATATATATATATAAATATATATATATATATATATTTATAAAAGGAGAATTCAAACCACATCATATAATTTTTATTAAGTACTATACCGTTCAATAACTTTATATTAAATGTGAATTTTGTAAATCTAACTATTAAATT